ATCTGGGAACACAGTCTGTCTGTCTGTATGTCAGTCAGTCAGTCAGTCGGGGAGCAGCAGAGCAGCTCCCACACGCTGTGTGTGGCTCAAAGAAGTTTGGTTGGCAGCTCAAATCACTTGGCTTTTGTCTGTTGCAAGGGGCATGGGGCATGGGGAAGTTTTATCAATTTTGACATAAGCCTTAAAAGACAGCATTAACTAGTTGATTTTCCCAGGGGCTTAAGTGATGCATTTGTTTGAATGAATTTAACTAGAAATGTTCCTACAAATAACAGCTAAATTTACTTATCTCAAATAGAAACAGAGAGAGAGTGAGAGAATCATAAAAAGAGTCTGCCCTTCGTTAGGCAGCCAACAAACTGTCCCCCCAGAGACATGTCTGCGTCTCTGTTTTCTGTTTAATCTTAACTACAGGTTTTATTTGGTTATCTAAGCAACATTTTAGTTCCTCAACAATGATCAGAGTTTACGTTTACATTTACCCCATATGTATATATCTCGCGCTCTCTGATCTGTAATCTGTGATCTAATCTCTCGTCAGATTGGGCCTGGGCTTCATTAGTACATTTTGAAATGAAACAAAAATTCCAACAACAATACTCGTTAGATTTCCACATTTAAAAGATTTCAATTTGAATTTGAATTGGCAATAAAACTTCAAGTTTATCAGCTGCCGATGGTTAGGGACGGCACTAGACTGCGGTTTACCAGGTTCCAGTTTTTCCAGGAGTGGAGGGTGCCGGGGTGCCCCCTTAGGCTGCAACTCGTTATACAACTCTATTAGTTTTCATTTCGTTCAGTTCGCGCATACAAATCAACTAATTTCGAATCCAACCAAATCTCTCTCTCTCTGTCTCTGCCGCGCTCTGACTGTGGTGGAGTGCTGCACTCGAAACATTCGAATTCGTTGGTGTGTCTGTATGTCCTCATAATTTATGTAAATCTAACAAAAGTTGTCAATTTCCATCTGTCCAGCTTTTTGGTTGGAATAAAATTTGAATAAAATTTCAATTTTCATGCATTCATGCCCTTGTCGAAAATATTTGCCCTGCCTGTCTTTTGCTTTGCCTTTTGCTCTTGCTTTCATTTCCATCAATTCGTTTTGTGTCTCTGTGTCCAAATCATATTATTGTTGAGTATTTTAGCAAGAAAACTCAATTACCAAACACACTTGGGTCCCTCTAGGACTAGGCACTGTGTCCAGAGCGCATTGCCTCTTGTTCTTATTAGTGCAAATTAGGCCTGTTGGCTGTCCTTTTGCCTGAGACTTCTGAAAAGAAATGCCAGACACGTACCATGCATATCCATGTCCGACACTTTAAATGGCTTCAAGCACCAAGGACCAGAGCGGCCTCCTGACTTCTCCAGACATAAGATGCACTCCACTTTCCTGACCTTTTACCTTTTGCTCTAATTTTGTTGGGCCTTAAAATATAATTTTATTTTATTATTTCACTTCTTATTCGAGGATGAATAATTCCCCTGATTATAATAAACTGAAATTAAATACTTGTAAGCTCTCCATGTATTATTTTTTGGCTGGAAATTGAAATGAAAATTCAAATAAATTCTAGAGGGGCGTCCGAGAGGAGTCCCCACACAGCGAGTGAAATATTTTGGTAATTAAGCCAAAGCGACGTCGGTTTGTTGCGAATTTCTGTGTTAATTTGAATGCCGATCCTCTCATGGTAAACATTTTTCGGCAATTCTCTCTCTCTCTCTATCTGTCTGTCTGACTCTCGACTGTGTGCTTGTGCAAGCGGAAAACTATGTTTCGAATGTGGCTGCCATACACAACTGCCTCCTCCCTGCCACTGCACTGACAGCACTTCTACTCGTACAATATTAATTTCTATACGCTCATATTTGATGGCAAATAAAAGTGCACGAGGAATATAAATGAAAATAATGTTCAAACATTTCGCATTAATTAAAAAGCAGCAGGGATGAGTTCTGCACGCTCTCCCCTCATTTCAGTGGGCGGGGGGGACACAGATCCATGCGGGGTTTGGGTACGGAAATATAAATATTGAATCAATGCTGCTGCTGCTGCAAGGGGAGTGGGTGGGTACATGTGTGCGGTACATGTGTAATTGCTTTTCATTTCTGCACCACCGTCAGCGATGTGTGAATATGCGAATATCGATTGTTGTCGATTGCCCAGTGCTATTGATGGAGCAAGCAACGTTTGTTGTTTTTGCAGTTTTAGTACCCTGTAAAGGAGGAGTAGTGGAAGAAGGGTAGCTATAGGAAGCAGAGGCAAGCCACCATCCATATTTAATGCTGCATCTGAAAACTAGAAACCCCATGCAAAAGTCACAATTTTTCAGTTACCAGAACTTCCCTTTGGTTGGCTTAGATCTATGAATATTATCTACCTAAATGCCCAAATTCAAAGCAATAATAATCAGAAATCCAAGCTACAGTCCAGCCCTATATTCTATTCCCATTAACACTGGGTGTTTTCCCCAAAAGTTGCCTCCCCAAGTGGAGAGTATCTTAAAGTCGCGAATTTCCATTTGTAGCACTCTTTTATTTGTATTTTACCGTTTCGTTTTGTTTAATTTCGATTATTTGCTGGTTGGTTTGGATGGGCGTGGCATGGCGTGTGGGCGTGCGGGTGCCCACCTCCATGCAGTTGGTAAACAAACAGTGGAAGCCGCCGGTGGGCACGTTTCCACGCAAAAAACTGACAACGATGGAAACTGAAGACGCGTTTTTTGTGTGCTTCTTTTTCTTTTTTCGGACATTCAATTGAAAGAGCGCAGCTCGAAGGCGTCCCACGCACTTGGCAGCTGGCTGTGTGGCGGCAGCAGCCTGACAGCTGTCGCAACATTGCCAAAGACTCAACTTGGACTCCGACGCCGAAGCCGACTCCTGGCCCTGCGACGACGACTCCAACTCCAAAAAATTTCTCCACAGCTGCAACACGATGAGCAGTCATCAAAGGCAAATCAAACAGCGGCAAAAGCAGCGGTTGCTAGTGGTGGCGGGGGGGTTGTGGAAGCCAAAGCTCACGTGACTTTACAATTTATTTCAAGCATGCAGCAAAAATAAAATTTATTAATAGCCCCGCGCGACTCCAAAGAAGAGGAATTACTGCCGCCACCCACACAGCCCAGTTGTACGATATCTGAACTGTAGGGGGGAGGAGACCACTCTACCACTCTACCACAATCCCCCAATCCGCAATCTTCAGTACGGCACTCATCCAGCTCTCAGCTCTGCAGCTCTTGGGGGGTTTTTGCTTTCATTCATTCAGTCATTCATTCAAAAGGAAAGAGATTCACAGAGTCGGGATTCGCATTCGCAATTTTTTAGCTTTGCGTGAGGCAAGGAAAGAGAGAGAGAGAGAGAGAGAGTTCTTTTGGGTTTTCGCCTCAATTTATGCGCCTCACGTTTTCCCATTTTCAAGAATGACTAAATATCGTTTACACCCAGCGAACTCTTTGGCTCTCCCTCTCCGTCTCTCTCTCTCTCTCTCTCTCTCTGCCACTGCCACTTACTGCCAGTTTTCCGCCATAAATGTATCTCTGGGCTGGGCTGCAGTTCTGCGTATGAAGTGCCTTCAGTCTTAACCAAAGTTTAATTAAACTTTGCCAGCGGAGCAAAAGGAGAATACTCGTATATTTTATATGCAATTGTTTGGCTGCTTGGAGGCGCATGCCACGTGGCAAGTGCCAAAGGTAATGGGCCAACATTTTTCTTGCTGCCGAGTTGCTTCTGCTGCAGCTGCAGTTATTCATCTGTTGAAATTTTTGGCGGCGGCAGCTAATGCCAGAAACGTGTCGGCCGCTTATGGGTTGGTAACGATAGAGCATTGAATTGAATGGGGCTAAAGGATAGAGAATCGAGAGAGGATGCTTGCTGATAGTCAGCCAACGACAGAAGCTGCCAGCCAGCCATCCAGCCAGCCAAAGAAAACTTTGTGAAAGCTATCGAAGTTTTTGGGCGGTGAAAAGTTTTCTTCCCAACTTCCCACCCAGGGAGAGCAGCATTTCACCTGCCCGTCTTCTCCCTGCTGCTGCTCTTGGCGCTTGCAAATTAGTGTTAATTTATCATGATTATTGGCCTCACAATGTTATTCCGCAAATTGAGTTTGTTCGAGTCTCGTCTCGTCTCGTCTCGCTCACTGGCAGCTACAGTTTCAGTGGCATGGGGTGGGGTTGGGTGGGTATAGGTTTCTTTTAATAATGCCAATTGGTACTCGTGCGAGTACGAGTACTGCTCCTCTTCCTCTTCGACTCAGAGAACAGAACTGTAACTAATGTTGACTTCCAGACTGATATCAAACTGTCAAGCTGTCAATTCTCGTTAGCATTGGCTGCCATGTGTGATATGTCCTCCCTATCACGAGGGTATCCATTCTCTCTCTCTGTCTACCTCTCTGTCACTGTCTCTGTCTGTGTGGAGTTGCTACTTCAGTAAAAGTATCTGGCAGATAGATAGCGTTGCCAATGCTGCTCAAAAATTCAATTTCCAGCTGAAAAGATACACAGCAGCAGCAGATAGGAGGAGGGGGTTTGGGATTGACTGCCAGGAAAGATACAAATTGGAAATACATAGGTAAAAAAAAGTCATTGAAAAACGATTGCTGACATGAGACCTTGCCTGTCGCTCTCTCTCTCCCTCTCTCTCTCTTTCTGGCTGGTAGCATGTGTAGGAAACGTAGTCTTGGGCCCAGGATTAGCAGCAGATATAAAAAAAGAGTCGGCTTAGTGAAAGAGACAGAGCATAGAAAGTGAGACAGAGAGAGAGAGAGAGAGCAGGGTAGTCAAAAAGTAATAGAATTATTCGGGTATACTGCCAGTTCTTTCCATCTCTCTCTCTCTCTCTCTCTCTCTCTCTCTCTTTGTGTTCGTTGCATATGAGAAATGTGAAAGCTTCGGGGGAGCACAAGGAGATGTAGAAGCAAAACTGACAGCACAATTAAGACTTTAATTGGCAAAAGCCAAAGACTAACTCTTGCTCCCTTTTTTCTCTCTTTTTTGATTTTCCAGCTATAGCTTTTACCCGTGAGCAAGCAGCCGTAGAGACGAAATCCATTCCGTTCATCATGCGCTAAGCGGCAGCTAAGATAGACAACGGCGCAAACTGTGGGCTATAGAGAGTGACGAGCAGAGACGGGAAGGAAGTCAAAGGACACAGCAGGAACGCCCCAACCCCCACCCCCACGGAAAGATGCCATCCATAGCCAATAGCAGCAGCAGCAGCAGCAGCAGCAACAACGGCAGCAGCAACTTCCTGACTGCCAACGATGTGCGTCTCAGTTACGTTGTAAATCAAGTTGCATCCTCAACCGCATCCGCATCCGCCTCCGCCTCTACGTCTGCCTCTGCCTCCGCCACTGACTTTCCCACATTCAGTCCACCGCGGATTGAGAGTTTGGTGGCCAGCTCCGCGGAGCAGGATCTGAGCAGCTTTGGTGATGTGACATTCGACATCTTTGACGACGATGACGATTTGTTCGGCTCACCCATGGCCTTCGATGCCACCGAGCAGGGCCTGTGGAATGGTCGATTTGTGCCACCGCCGCCGCGGCCGCCCTTCTTTGTGGATGAGCCCGTGCTGAGCGATGGCCTGACCACATGTGATTTATGCTCCTGGGCCATGCCCACAAAGAACACATTCATGTTCGAGGGTACGATAGGTGAGTGTAAAGAGCTAACACACAGACAGACACACATCCGTTACTAACTGTTGGATCTTCCCTGCCTCTTTTCCGCCCTCTTCGCATTGCAGAAAAAGCCACCGAACTGGGCTGGCCACTGACGTTGATCATTGTCTCTGTGCTGTCGGCGCTACTGGGCGCCATCATCATGATTGCTGTGGTGCGATGCCGGCGTAAAAAGTCATCCAACAATCGAAATGGTGAGTAGCCCCCACACACCACCCAACCCAACACCCACCACCCCCTGTGAGGCAATCCTTTCGCTTTACCTGTGTTGACTCTCACAACATTTGCCGAATGTGTTTTCGCATCTGTGTCTCACATTTCCAACTTTTTTTCTCTCTCTTTCTCTCTCTGTTTTCCCCTCTGTGGCATCTCCTTGTGTCATCTTGTAGACACGCACGTGCAGTGGTGGTCCCGGAACAAGCGCGCCCACGGCAATAGCCTCAGTGGTGCGGGTGGCGGCAGTGGGACTGGTGCCAATGCCGGCAGCAGTGCCCATCTCCACCATCATCCCCACAATGGGAGCAACAACAACATCAGCAACAACAACAACCATCTGAGGAGAAGCAACATCTATACGGCACACCCGGCGGACAGCATACGTTGCCCGTTGCCACTGCCACCATCCTCGTCATCGCCCACGCTAGGGGGCACAGTCATGGCCATGACCATGTCCCCATCATCATCATCCACAGCAGCAGCAGCGGCGGCAGCAGCAGCAGCAGGAGTGAATGGTGCAGCAGCCAGCGCGCCGCTGGGGCAACACTACTTCCATCCATATCACCAGCAGCATCAGCATCATCCACATGCACATCCACAGCATCCCCAGCATCCCCAGCATCCACAGCATCCCCATCATCAGCTTCAACTGCAGCATCAGCATCAGCTCCATTCGCATGCACATCATTCGCATCATCAGCAGCAGCAGCCGCCGTCGCATCATCATGTGCCGCTCTACCCGCATGACTGTGACGAGGATGCCGCCTACGAGGAGCCCGAATATCATCAGCCCCAGCAGCTGCATTCGGCCCACAGCCACAGCTGCTCCTCCATTTCGTCGGCCTCGCTTTCGGTGTCGGCCCCCTCCTCGCCAGTGCCCACCGTGGCCTCCTCCTCCGCCGGACTGGCAGCAGCAGCAGCCATTGCCGCTTGCCACTGGCCGCAGGCCACTGCCAGCACGATGGTGATTGCCAGCTGAGACTCGGTTGAAGGCTGCTCCTGGACGGTGCAGCCTCAGGAGCCACCAGGAGCGAGCAGCAGCAGCAGCACCAGCAACTGGATCTGGCAGTGACAAGTTGTGCAACATTTCAGCGGTGGCAGTGGCTGCCCCGCGGCTGCTTAAGATGCAGCGCACATATTCTGGGTGCAGATCATAAAAAGGATTACACGTAACGATTTTGTCAAGTCCATAAGCATCTAAAGGATACACTCCCGATACACTGTATCTATGTCGTCTGTGTGTGTGCGTGTGCGTGTGTGTGTGTGTCTCCCAATTGGGGAAAAACCGAAACGAATTTAGTGTCACTTCCGTTTCCGTTTTGCAAACTATCGAACCAGACAGCCCAGCCAGCCAGCAGGCAGAAGGCAGACATTTTTGGGTTTGTGGTACATGTGTGTGACACCAGCAGCAGAACAGAAGGAGGATACAAGGATGCCTCTCTTTACATGCCATGCACGTTTTATCCTTTATTGCCGTTCGGCATTAGAACAGGGATTTTGTCAGATTAAAGCAAATAAAGGGCGTGGCATGGCGTGGCGTGGCGTGTGCTTTCTGTTTGCACCCAAACCCAACATTCTACTACACATTCGAACTGGCAACTGCGCGTCGATGATGCCACAAGTTTAAATCGTTGTTCAGCCCTCACCCCCCAACCAGTATGATGCTGGCTATGCTGGTTACCACTAGTAGATGTTAAAATTGCAGCAGCAAATAATATATAAAATGTCAGGCGAAAGGGTAAGCCTCAGTCGAGTTACTCCCATGTTCAATGCTCAAATGTACATTTCCCACTTGTTTTTTGGGACATTTTTCGGCTTAAGCTATCTCTGTGTATCTGTGTGAATGGTATGGTATGTATGCCTGAGTATCTGAGTGTTTTGTGGTGTAGCCTCCTCTCGGGACGGGAATCTATCTGCTGGTCCGGACAGGATATATGCAGCCCAGCCCAATCCTGTCCTGCCCTGCCCTGCCCCACACCACACAACTTTGTGGCTTTTCACATCATTCCAATGACAAGAGCAAATAGATTCCACTACTAACAAGAAACAGAACCATTAAAAACAGTGTAAATATCGTAAAAGCAAAGGAAAAGTTAGGGAAAAGTCCAACCGAAAGGTATTAAAAAAGGCAAAATAAACTCGCAAAATATCTAAAATACACACACAAAATCCAGCTTTTAATAGGCATTTGCATTTTGCATTTTTTAAATAGTCAATAACTAATTCATGACAAAAGGCATATCAAATTTAAACACAAACTAAAATTAATGAATACGAAAAAAAAACGGCGCAAAAAACGTACTTAAAACAATCAACAAACTAAACTAAAAACTTAAACTAAACGCTAAACAAAAAAAAAGCAACTACATATTGTACATACAATTATCTTGCTCCAATTAGCAATTAACTAAGGGAGCATTCAGCAGAAAGTTTTCAACAACTAAATATTGCATTAATTTCCACAAACAAAAACACAGCATTCCTCTTTCTCTCTCTCACTCTCTTCAAAGGCAAACCAGCCAAGCGAAAAGTTCAAGTTTTTATTTACAAAAAAAAAAAAAAAAAATATAAATATAAATTAAACAAACAAATTTACTAATTTAGCTACTAAAAAAAAAACGAAAGAAAAATGAGCATAAACCAACCAAAGACTAGTCATTTAAGTCAAAATGTTGCTATGTACAAAAGAAATAAAATATAAATAGTAGGGGCGAGAAAAAAAAGGCGTATGATTAAGCGAGTTAATTAATTCGATATTTATGGAATGCATTCCATTTGGAGCGGGTACAGTTCGGGGGGCATTTATTAGTTTTACGAGATGAAAGAACAACTGCAATATTGTATTTTAAATATTTATTCATTAAATGTGCACACATCAGACCATCTACCCTACTCCATATTTCCCTGCCACAAATAACAATAATCGTAATTAGCATTTATAATATAACAAAAATGAATAATAATGAAAGCGAAAGACGGAGAGGAGACGAGGAGAGAACGGACAAAATATACTACTACGAGCAACTCAAAATGTTCCAATGTTTAGAATATAGAGAATAGAGAGCCAACTAATTATGCGGAAACACACAAACAAATATTGTATATCCACAATCCATAGTTTTCGCTAACTAAAAAATTCATTAAATTGTGCAGAAATAATTTAGGCACACAAAAACAAAAACCACACAAAAAACAAAACAATGCAAATAAAAATAAAACCTAAAAAAAAAATATAAATACAATCATAATTTCATTTGTTTTAATTTAAAAGGAGGCGTAAATCAATTCCACAGGGGTTAAGGCAAACATTTTATGAAAAAGAAATCACTTTGGAAGTTGTATACATAAACCATTTTCCAGCAGAAATAAATCTATTTGTAGGCAAATCAAGTGATATATTGATATATTTAGAGTGGAAAGATTAAAATTTTCCATCTAATCCAATGTGTTCAACAAGAGCGTGAGAAGCACATAGCACTGATGCAGTATCTGAAAGGATAGTCATGGGATGATGGGATACAGTTTTCCGCCGTCATATGCGAACCACTCACAGCCATGTAGTTGATCAAATTGAATTCCGGAAAGGGGCTAGCTCTCATTATCAATGGCTGCTGGGAACGCGCAATTATAAAGCGTATATCCTGATGGATTCCATTGGAGCCAACATTCGGTTCGTACGCCTCGTAGGCAGCCATGGCCACCTCCATCGACTCCTGGGACATCAAATCTCCGAATTTCGACCACAGCGAGAGGTGTCCTAGGGCCAGAATCATCAGTACCATAAACTCGGCTGCCACCTTGGGATCGTGCCTGGCCATCATGGCCTCAAACACGGAGAGGGAGACCAGCATAAAGTTGACAATCATTTGCATGATGAGGGGTCCATGGAACAGCTGATTGCAGCGATCCACAATACTGCAATTAAATTGTGCTATGAATGGTAGACGACTCCTTCCTCGCAAGTGCTTACAGAATGATACTCTGATGATTCCTGATCAGACGCTTGAGCTCCCATCGCAGGCCATCCTCGTGTCCATCGCTTGTGCAATGCTGTGGGAGATGTCGCAGCTCCACACACAGGACACTCAACGCAGTCGTCACCTGGGAGTAGAGGCACACGGACAGGCCCTCGGTGGCCACGAGCCAAATGTTAGCAAACACAATGCTGAAAGTCTGCGACATGTAGATGATGAAATGTGCAATCGGATGTTTGGATGGGTCGTGCAACTCGAACGGAAAGGCCACATGAAAGGGCAGTGTCTGGTCTGCCCAGAGGGGCGTACTTATCAGGAGAATGATAAATATGACTACGGCAAAGGTCCAAACAAAATCCAATGCCATTAGTAATAGAAAATGCCGACGCTTAGTCGCTCGATTAATAGCAGTGCCCGGACCCTTGACCTCCGCATGATGATCCTGCTCCAGGGCATCGATTATTTCGTCCACTTCATCCGCATACAGACTGAAGAAAACCATCTTGAATATTATGAAAAACATCTGAAAGAAAAAGGATATTCCGTAGGAAACACACGACATGCACTTTGTCACTCGCCCAGACCCCAATCAAAAAGGCCAGATCACGACCCATTTCGACAACATTGTCCAGAGATTCGTCCAGCAATCCATAGATCATCGACAAGTACATGATAGAAAGCTGCCCAAAGAGGAACACATGCCACGCCCTGCGAAGTGGCAGCAGTGCATGCTCCTCCGTATTCATGTAGAGCCCCAGAGCCCTGCAAATGGTGAGCCGGGTAAGTTTTTATACATATATTCAAATTCACTTAATCCCCAAAATGACGGACTTCATCTGATCCCGAGCATAGTACGTTGTGGTATGTTTGTTCACCATTTCCGGATTATTCAGTAGTGTACGGGCCTCGAGAAACCCTCCGATTAAACGTATCCAATAGCCTTTTAGGCCCAAATTGTTATTGCGGTCTCTTCGGACTTCGAACATTTTGCCTGAGCGGATTGAATAGATACTGAATGTGGCCCCCGCAACATTGTTGGATTTTATTATATATATATTTTATTATTACTACATATATTATACAGACACAACTTTTAATGCCCTCTCAAGGGGTATAATACCTTTATTTAGCTTGATAGTTTACACGTTTTTCCATCTATTAGAACTTTTCTTACTATAAATAATATAGCTGCCATGGATATGATCAATAGAGGAATATTAACACACACATATACCATAAGAAAAATAGCTTATAGGATAAGTATTTATTTTATTTATATTTTATTAATATTTCATTTTTATTTTTTATTATTTATTTAATTAATATTTAGCTTAAAACTGATTAAAAAAACCTTAGATAAAATCGTTTTTTCCAAAGATAATACTGCTGCTTCTGTGAGGGTATCTGAAGTGTCTGCAGCTCGACTTTCCTTTTTTTCGTAATTGTAGGACGAGAATTTCACAGCTGCTTGCCTAATGACTCCGAATGAATCCCTTTACTTTGCTCTCTTTACTCGCTAGTAATTGTTCTTCCAATTGCAGATACAAAAGTAAAGTCTCTATTGGAAATGCAAACCACTTAAAATGCCAAAGCTTTCCACAATGCAATTTATCTGCTTCTACACACCACAGCCAACCCCGATGAACCCACCCTACCCAATCGAACATTAATAATCCTCTGTAATATATATAAAAATGAAAAACGATTTAATTTCGTTTTCATAAGAGAGCTACAACGAAAAGTGAAAGTCCTGAGGCGGAGCACAGAGAGTGCTCCTCGAAGCATTCGCATTGTTAAAAAATAATCAGAGAAAAATGCAGCAGGCACAGCGAGCGGCACTGCAACTGGAACTGGAACTGAAGGAGAGGCTAAAATATTTAGGTTGTTCGGTCAAGAAAGAAGTAAGGAATATTTATGCCATTTATGACACGAAAGGCCCTCCGAACGTGCCCCAGAGATTGCAGCATTTTTGCATATTTGCAGCACGAAGCGACGAAGCGGTGAAGCGGTGGCGAGCGAAACCAAATGAAATGCAGAAAATCCACTCAAAGGAGATAAAGCCAAAGGGGACTGGGGATTGGGGCACCGTTGAGCAGCCTCGTCGCAGATTGGGGCACCTTTCAAGAGACGGTCCATCCGTTTGTCCGTTCGTCTGCCCCAATCGAAAGCGAAAGATTTCATGCCCGATATGAACATATGGTCATATGGATCGTCGTTGAGGACAGGACTCGTACTGCTGCTGCTGCTCCTCCGTTGTGGCTGTCGTCGCTTTGTCTGTGGTCTGTGGGTGGCAGCGGGCGAAGTTCCATTTGCATATTGGAACGATTGAAATGCCCAGACGGACGGACAGACAGCAGCAGCAGACAATTGTTTGTGTGTGTGTGTGTGTGTGTGTGTGTAGGACAGCGACTGAACCGAAAGAAAGATCTCCCGCGTCTGACAAAAAGTGAGATCCATGGGGCTTTCCTTGGAGGTAGCGAAAATGTCATGCGGTTTTATGACTTCATTAGCGACAGCCAAGAGTCGAAGAGAGGAATTTAATGGACCCTCCAAAGGCAAGCCAAGCCAGGCCAGGCCTCCTCTTGCTGCTGCTGCTGCTGCTCCTCCTCCTGGCTCGAGTTTTATGTGCTGCGGTTGACAAACAAATTTGAGGGACATTTTCGTGTCTCCCTGGCACTCGCCGGCCCGCTCTGCTGATGAGAAGGAAATGAAAGTTAGCCACCAGAAGAATGGTGTAAAGTGTGGAGGGGGGATTGGGATGTAAAACTAATCAGAGGAGAGCCTGGTGCCACGGCCAGCAATCTGGACCTCATGTCACGAGCTACCAGACGCGACAACAACATCAGATGATGATGATGATGATGCTGTGCATATGAGGTTGCCTAATAATGAAGTCGTGCATGGCATTTGTCCTCAACGGTTCGATGATTAAGAGCCTGCCTGCTGCCTTCTGCCTGCCTGCTGGACTGCTTTTGCCTGAATGTCTGACACCTTTTCGCTGTTCGTCGGAATTGGCGCATGTCAGCAAATTGGTAGCCAAAAGTGCTGCGGCTGTGGTGGTGGGGGGGTGCTGTGCCTTCTGGCTAACTGGGTCGATGATCGGTAGGTTGCACCCAACCCCTCCCCTGGCATGCTCTGCGGCAAAGCAGGAATCAGTGCAAGAAGTGAAGATGTCATTATGCGATAGAATTAATTGCAGCTTGCATTAATCTGCAGCTCAAATGCTTCATAATTTTTCGTTTGCATCTCAGAAGTTTCACTTTGAGGCGTGGCCTTTGAATAACTCTCCTTTTGGCCCCACACGAGAGAGTGAAGTGAGTGAAGTAGATATTATGCTGGAGATAATAAACCATACAAATAACTGCAGCAACATCTTTGCCATGCCTGGGGCCTGGTGCCTGACGCTGACATCCCTGACTTTTGCTTTGGCGATAATGTCGTCGGTCTTGGCCTCTCTGTGTTGAATGTCGACAGGCGGCGGGCGAATCATCAGCAGCCTATCGACAGAGTGCAGCATTCCCCTTGCAACTCCTAGGCATAAGCATTATAATCATCATCAGCATCATCATTATCATCATCGTTGAAGCTGCATGCAAGCGAACAAAATCCAACTACTGCGCATGAATGAATCACGTTGGGAGTTGCAAGTTGCAGTCCGCAACTTCGGGGCTAACGAGATCGCTGCTCAGATGCAAACTTCATCTCATGCCAAACGTCTAGCGAAAGTCGCGACAAAACAGTAAAAAAAAAAAAAAAAGAAGAAACAAAAAACTCTCTCAATCCTGCAAGATACCCACAGATTTTCCCCCCCTACAATCTTATAGCCATGTAGTCGTCGTCGTCGTCTTTGGAGCTGTGTAGCCATAATGATGAATTAGGCTGCTGTCATGTCATGACAAAGGCGCGCTGCATGCAATTTAGATGGCCATGCCATGCCGTGACATGCCGTGCCACGGGGAGTGGTAAGGTAAAGTGGTAAAAGCAGTCGTCAGTCGTTCATCTAACTAAATGCAATGCAATGTCTATGGCCATGGCCATACTCGGTCGTTGTGCATATTCCAAACGTAAGTAGGAAGTGAAGTCTTAAATGAGCCACAAATATAAGCCGCAGACGTCTGTCTGCCACGTCTGACAAATCGCTTTTGTCCTCTCTCTCTCTCTCTCTGGGCAGGATTCACTTCGCCAGAGCCAGTGACACTTTGTGCAGTGTGCTGCATGCAAATGAATCTCTTGGATTTTTGGCTTTTGGTTATATTTTTGTTGTTGTTGGCCTAATCCGTTGGCGTTTTTGCTAATTAATTGACGGGACGGAACTTGTCGCTGGCAATTAGTTGAGCATCGACCAGAGATGACATGTTATGGCCAATGTTATGATCGTGTTCCCCCCCACAAATGAAGTTATTCAGAATGTTACGGCGAATGGATGTTGTAGACCTCCGAAGACCTTTCAGGCGCTCGCCCCCCTAGCGGCGAAGGTTAATTGCCAACAATAAGATTCAATCAAGCTAATGACGGTGCAACAGCAGCAGCAGTAACAGAAACCAGGCTGACTGGCAGACTGGCTGGCTGGCTGCCAACGATCCACGATCCTCTCCCCACACAAATGCAATTTATGAGTGGCCTGAAACGGCAGATCGGTGGAGCTGCTGCCTGCCCGCTCGACTACTGCCGGCGCGACCTTTCGGGGTCGCATGCATAAAATTCAGCCTCGTTCTCCACACAAAAACAGAAAGAAAAAAACTTTCTTTTCTTTAAATCGATATAATTTCGAACAGAAGGGGGCCTGAAAGGTAGATTTAATGCAGCTATCGATTGTAATTGAAATGGATTATAAAATTGTTCAGAAGCCAAAGAAGCAAAAGTGCAAAGTGCAGCCAAAAAGTGCATCTAAATATGCGCATATCAATCTTTAGATTTTGGCTTATATCTAGTTCAGAAATAAACCAAGAAAAGAGTGAGCCGAGCCCTAGGGCACAGCATACCCTGGCTTTAAGCAGCTGAAGGAATAGTTTGCTCAGCTCAGAGGTCAGCACGCATTAGCAAGCGGGTGAGGGGGGTAATTGTCTATTAATATGAGAACACGTAATGCTTTTGCCTTTTGCAATTTCTTGGCGAGAATTTCACAGCTGCTGCTGTGCTTTGGGAAACACAAAAAAAAAAAGGGAGGAAGAAAAAAGTTTCTTTTCGAAATGGCATTGGCCATTGGCAATTATTTCCGAATGGAATCGGAATACCTTGCCACTTAGGGATCGAAGTTGCGAACGAGGCAAACGATTATCAGGCGGTGGCAGTGGCAGTTGCAGTCACATGTGCAACATTTCCTTCATTGTCTGTTGGCCCGTTTTGTTTTTTTTTTTTTTGCTGTTGTATTTTGTTTGCTGTTTTCGTTCTAGTTTGCATCCAGCAGTTTGCATTGGCATTGAAAGGCAAATTTGCACACTTCTCCTCTGTCTCTCTCTCTCTCTCTCTGTCTCAGTATGTGTGTGTGTGTGTGCTGCCTCTGTTGGAGGCATGCAACATTGTTTGCACTTTTCTTTCGTTATCGTGCGTTTTGCTTGCTTTTCGCTCGCTCCATTTACGGTAGGCCGAAATGCATTTTACAGTTTTACCTTTTTGCAAATCTCTAACGGCCTGCCAAACCAACAAAATATTGCCCAGTCCAAATTTGGTAGCAGCCCCCCAGTGGTACCCAGTACCCAGTAACTGCCTCCGCAGAGATAGAGCGAGAAAGAGAGAGAGAGAGCGCGAGGCTGTTCCCCAATGAGCGTTGGTTCTTTTCTGCTTTGAGGGAGTCTAGAACCGTCTTTGCTGCTATGACTTTTGACTTTTACCATTGCATCGATGCAACACACACACATACATCACCCGCACACGGCCACAACATGGCGACGGGTGTAGGGGGGGAGGAGACGACTTATTAATCTGGATAGCATTTAGCAAGGAGGACTTGTCGCTGCATATTTGGCGATTGGGCTCTGACATCGAT